GATGATGACAGAAGTGTTTGGTAGATTGTTTTAAGTTATAATTTAATAAGTATGAATATGTAAAGCTATTTCTTGAGTAGTCTGTGGAACAGTTCTCCCAATTTTGGCATAGCTTCCAGATATCAGTGAGGAAGACTTTGAAATGTTGACTGGACTGGATATGCCTTTGTCATGTCTAGACCTAGATTATTGTTGGGTTTTATATTTGACTTTATCCTTATTAGACCTTTTCACAGCTGACTGACCCAAATGAGTCGCTAGATGAGCCATTTCAGAGAACAGTTAAGAAGCAGCTGTCACAGTTTGTCATAGCCCTGGTCCGACTCCATTTTTTCCATGATTCAAGATAATGGATCAAGCTTAAGATCACCCAAAAGTCTGTTGCTCATGACTCGACTCACATCAACTCTACTATTGGTGCCTATGTCTTAATTTGCCACATTCTTAAACTTTGGCATTTTCTCCCTAAATGCCTGTGTTTTTGTTGCTTCCTCTAAAAGATTCTAAAATCATCAATCTTTCATCCAGCTTTTGGTCACTTGCCCTAATTTCTCCTTATGCAGTTTGGTGTCAAATCTTGTTTGATCTCACTCCTATGTTTTACTGTTAAAGATAGTATGAAGTTGTAATTGACATTGTTGAGCTGAAAAACAAAAGTAAATACTGACAATGTTCTTAAAGAATTCACATTTCCTTTAATTCTAATGATAAACTAATCATATACCTGTAAGGTAAAGTTGCCATCGCCCCAGAAGACATCAGGGCTGCTCTCTCATTAGGGAGTGAGAGATGACTGGTGGTGGTTAAACCTGAGGGTCACCATGCCTCAGGTGAGGGGTGAAGTTGAGAATATTGGACCTTCATGGTGACTTCAGCCGGTGTGGAAATTGAACCCATGTTGTTTACATCACTCTGTAAGCTAACATAATCAACTGAGCTAACTAACCTCTATACCTGAGCAGGGCTGAAGGATTGCTATGCTTTCATAAATACCGCAGTCAGTCCTCTGACTCTGAATCTATTGTGGCCATTGTTCATTTCGCTATTGTTATCCTGTGCACCTCAATGCTTCTCATTCCCAATGGACTTTGTCCTATTCCTTACACCACCAATCTAATCCCATTCCTTTTCAGAAAAATTGAAAGAACTGCAGAAGCTGTAAATCAGGAACAAAAACAGAGTTACTGGAGAAGCTCAGCAGGTCTGCAACATCTGTGAAGAAAAAAAATCAGAGTTAACATTTTGGGCCCAGTGACCCTTCCTCAGACCCAAAATGTGAACTCTAATTTTTTCTTCACAGATGCTTCCAGACCTGCTGAGTTTCTCCAGCAACTTTGGTTTTTGTTCCATTCTTTTTCATTATCCTTTATGAAATCAAACACAAGGCTAATGGTAGAGCATACATTTTAAAGTCTCTTTCTCCAGAAGCTGATTTGCCAATTGAAAAATGCTGAAACTGACTTTGATACAGTTTCCTAGGCTAGGGTATTAAGGTTATGAAAGTAAGTTGGGCAGATAGATTTAAACACAAAGCAGCCAAGATGCGATTAAAATTGGCGTATTGGGTTTACTAATATTGTAGAAGAGTGTAAAGTGTATGTTAGTGTTTCAGCTGCTTGTTTTATATCTCAATTAAATTTACTTTTGGAAGTCAAACTTGGGGCAGTGATGTGAAAACAAGCTGATAATTTGTTTCCAGCCATGTTACAATATTGCATTAATCATAGAGTCATGCTGTATATTCTACTAGTGCCAGCTCTTTGAAAGAGCTAGCCAATCTGTTTCATAGTCATTGATGTTTCACCAGAGCATTGAATAAATTCATCTAATGGTTATATCTGCTCGATTTTTGAAATTTATTATTCTAACAGCTGCCACCACATGCACCACATTATGTTACCATTGGCTACCTGCTTCCCCCAGAATGCCCACTAAGAATTAATAACAAAAATCCCATATTTCTGTCTCAAAAAGGTTATTTCCTGATGAATAAAGTGGAGATGGAGCCTCAAGTTTCAAGTAGAAGTACAATGAATCCAGATGCTTTTTCAATACACTCAGATCCCTTTCACCCTTTGGGGCATTGGTTTTCAGGAATCACTTGATATAGAACGGAAGAAAATCCAATGCAAATCCGAAAGGAGATTAGGAATGAAAAACGGTTAAAGAGGTGATCCAGGCTGAACAAATGTAATGTGATTATTCTTTCCTGTATGCTATTTTTAAACAGAAGATACTTATTTTCAAGATATCACTATGTTGATTTTTGAGAGGTGAATACCACTTTCAGGCAAAAATGTTTTGAAACTTGAAATTTAGGACAAAAATAGACTATTCAGGAGTTTTGATGGAGATCCAGTCACATGAGCAAAGTTATTCCCAAATTTTTGTCTTCACAGAATCTGCCTGACTCCTTTAATTGTTTCCAAAATGTTCTATTTTTGAAGAATAATCCATTTGTTTATCACACCAGGAACATAAATAGATTTCTAGTTGAACAGCTGGAATTCAAGACCACGGTATTCTATAGCTCCCTTTGACACTGGCAAGATTAGAAATTCAATTAGTTCTTTTTTCCAACTAATAGTGTTCTTCTTTGATTTTGCACATAAGTGTAATTTACATATTTTTAAAAAAATGAGTACAATCTCCAACAATCAGAAGCTTAAAAAATCAATTTTGTTGCAGACATTTTCAGATATGTCATTTCAGTACCACACTGTGACTCGGATGTCTGACTACATTTATACTGAAATTTGATGAGTTAATTTGAAGCAACATCTCTAATGGTGCCACCCTTCAGTTTGTAACATTCACAGCCCTGGGTCTGAAGATAATGAGATCAAATCCCATTCAAGAACACCAAATTTGGGATGACAAACTTTAGTGTAGCTTTAAGGGAGTGCATTGTCAACAGTGCTATCTTTCAGTTGAATTATTAAGTGAATAGGGAATTTTCTCAGTGTTCTAAGAAATATTTATCTGTCAGGCAATGTGACGGAACCAGCTTTTAAAGGAAATGGTGTATAAAAATAGGGAAGTTTTGCTAAAACCAATCAAGACACTAGTTACATCACAGCTGACATACTAAGAACAACTTTAGGCCCCTTTTTTTAAAGGAAAGACATACTGATATTGGAAGCAGTCCAGGAAAGATTAATTAGGTTGATCTCAGGTATGGAGAGACTGTCTTATGAGGAGATATTGAATAGTTTGGGCCTGTGCTCATTAGAGTTTAGAAGAATGAGAGGCAACTTTATTTAAACAGACAAGATTCCTGGGGGACTTGACAAAGTAAATATTGAAAGTTGTTTTCCTTTGTGGGACAGACTAGGAGGGTATAATCCAGAGTGAAGGGCTGCCCAATTAAGACAGAGATATCAAGAAAATTCTTCTCTCAGATGGTAATGAATCACACAATTCCTTACCACAGTGGGTTATGGATCATTAAGTATATTCAAGGTTAAGATAGACACATTTTTATTCAGTAAGGGAATCAAGGGTTATGGAGATAAGGCAAGAAAATAGAGTTGTGGATTATCTGCTCCTATGTCTTTTGGTCTCATAAATTATGTAACGATTATTATGTGATTCATTGCTGTATGCAAATTGGCCACTGTTTTTCCTATACAGTTACAATGGTCTTACATCAAAGGTGCTTCACAAAGTGCAAAGCACTTTAGAATTTTGTGAAGTTATGAAAGGTGCCACATCAATGCAATTCCTTTCCATTCTCTATTTCAATGGAAATCACTTTCATAGAATGTTAACATTTTGTACTGAAAAAGGTGGCCATTCAGCCAATTGTCTATGCACTAGCTCTTTGAAAGGGAAATGTAATTAATCTTACATCTCTTCTCTTTCTGTATCATCCTGCAAATATTCTCTTTCGTGTATACAGTCATTGCTTTTTAGCAGTTAATATTGAATTTACTTCTGCTGTTGTTGTTGTTGAATCTACTTCCACTATCCTTTCAATGAATGTATTCCAGATCACAACAACTCATTTCCTAAAGAGAAATCTAACTCTTCTTCCTCGTTCTAATCACAGTGCTCTTTAGCACAACAATTAATGTGTGTAAATAATGATAATGATTATAATGAGTTTGGGTTGAAAATGTAAGTTTGGATAACTTAGTGTGAGCAATTCACCTCTGATAAAAGCCTGAATGTATGCGTTTATATTTTGGCTTTAGTCTGGTTCTCAACTTGAGGCATGCAAAGCTTTGGTTTGCAAAGAGTTAAGTCCTCTAAGATTACAGCATCAAAGTCCGAGGGTGAGCTGTGAAATCAGTTGGTTATCGTTTTTCCAGACACTGGGCAGAAACCTAATGTTCTTGTCTTGTTGAAATATTTATTTTTTAAAAATCTCCAGGTTTTGATTATAACAAACCCCAATACCCTCCCCTTTCCCCACCACCCACCCCACTTCTTTCCCTCCCTCCCCTCTGTTTGAAGTCTGAACTTCCTATTTCAGCACCAGAGCAACGTGAGCAGCTCATCTGCTCGAACCTCCGACTTCCCACCTTCAGCACCATCGCATCCCGGACAGCTCCTCCATTCAGCTTCAACGCCACAGCTCCGCAAACTGCTCCTCGGCTGGAAATTTGACTTTCCAGTTTCAGTTCCACAGACCCGCTGATAACATTCTGCTCGAAGCTCTGGATTTTCAGATTTTAGCGCGACCGATCCCGGGACAGCTCCTCAGGTCGAAGATCTGACTATCCGACCAGTTTCAGCACCAACACTTTCCGGACAGCTCCTCCGCCCGAAGCTGCAGCTTTCCAGTTTCAGCACC